TGAATCATACCACTTAAGATGATGTACTGGGGCAATCCCATCTGGTTAAACACTTCCTTGTGTAACATTTCCCACACACTCAAAGAGAAAATTATCATAGCACAGAGTGAGTTGAGCTCTTTCTGTCTCCTGGGCTTTTTTTTTTTTGTGCTATAGGCAAGGTATAACAGAAGATGTGCACACACTCCCAATACACAGCACAAAGGGTACATGGGTAGATAAGGGCCACAAAGAACCTTAACACCTTTTTGGTTGTGTTGCATCCCTAACAAGCAAGCTTGTGCAATTCCTCCTCCAAGCTGCATTATGCTTTTGCTCAGTTGCATGCTTGTTTGTTTGCATCTGGTGAGTCCTTGTGTCTCTTATGTGTTTACCCTTCTCTTTACATGCACGTCTTGTCTTGCAGACCCACATTCGTCTTCAATAGAAAACCAGCCCAGGGTAACCTTAACAAATCACGACAGGGTACCCAAGTCAGAGCAGACTCCCGTAGAACCGAACGAGTTGCAGAGACAGGCAGGGAAGCCTCCTGTACCCAAAGCTAGGAAGAACATCCACAAGACATCAGATGTCAGTCTGAAGAGCGACGATTCTTTCCCCAAAGCACCTGGAAGGATAAAGCAGGCTAACGGTTATGGGACTCCACCCAGGGGTATCCTGAAGCGCAGTTCGAGTTCAAGTTCCACAGATTCCGAAGTGCTCCGTCTGAACCAAAACTTGGATCAACCAAGTAAAAGCGGGTTGCCAACTTCAACCATCCTTGAAGGGGTTGCGGAGAAAAACTCCCCTCCTCCAGGGGATCTGGAAGGACTCTCTCAAAACTCACTTGAAAGACTCAAACAGGTCAGGTTCTCCTCCAACGTAAGTGGGAAAGGACGTCTACCGAGCCTTGAGATGCACGAGGGTAAGGAATCTGGAGAGTTTAATCTGTTAGACTCTGATTATAGTAAGAGCAACAATAACCACATGGGGGACTCAGATGCCCCTCAGAACAGGCAATCTCTGCCAGCAAACCCTCCTCAGTCTCTTTTATCTCCAAATGGTAATACTGAACACAGAGGAGTGTCCCAAGAAGACAAAACAGCGCCAAGCTCTGAGGTGGCTAACAGCACAGCAGATGTGCAGTCGGACACCTTGCTGCCAGTGAAAAGCCCCTTTGTGGAACCTCTGCCTTCACATGAAGCTTCAATCAAGATCTCCCCCAATGTTGGGGAAGAGCAGATTGCTGAGAAACCCCCTCAGGTTAAAGCAGAACGGTTGAGCCCTGAGTCAGAGGCCGCCTCAGAAAACATAACTGGTAAGAAGCCAAAGGTAGTCCGATGAGTTAAGAGTTAGCAAAAATCGAGCGTCTTAAGTAGCCTCGTCCATCAGTCTTCCATGGGCTTCCGGGCTGTTGCTTTACTCACCTTAACCTGGATTATTTCAGATGTCAAGCTTTTGTTTCTTTTCTAACTCACTGCCATCCTCACCGCCACCTCACCTATTTCCTGATTAATTTGTCATTCAGGGCTGAATTCTGTTCCTTCTTGAGCTATAAATGACTTGAATCAAATTGCCGTTGGGATAATTAACTGCTAAATCTTTACTGAGGGAAAACTTGCAATTTTTTTGAGATTTGTTTATTTATCTAAATATAAACATAAACATAAAATACACAAATCAAAATACAATATAACTGTGTTCCCCCTCCACCACTTGCATTTTGTGTAATTGGTAAGTAACCATAGCTGAAGAAGCATCCAAGGTCTAGTTGATTTATTTAGTTTCTTTGTACCATTTTATTTCTTTGAAAGTACCGTATTTTTCCATATGTAAGATGTCCCCATGTATAAGACCGCCCCCCACTTTTCTAATCCAAAATTAAGAAATCTAAGCGGGGCTTAGCAAGTGCAGGGGAAAAGGGATAAAAGCACTCCAGAATTACTTTGATCCCTGCTTTTCCCTCCACTTGTTTTTGTTCTCTTCTCAGCTTACTTCTGTGTATAAGATGACCCCCAATTTTTAGTCTAAAGATTTTAGATAAAAGTATAGTCTTATACATGGAAAAATACTGTTCCACTCTTTCCCTTGTTCCTTGTTCAGGGTAAACCAAGATTTGCTTCTTCTTCCATATTAGGATAACATCTTGGGAGGGCTTGCTTCCAAACCAGAACTGGAAAGGGTTGGCCATTAACATCTAAAGGAACCCATATTGTTCCCTTTCTTTTTGAGTCACTGTAAGAGAAATAGAGGTGCTTTTTGGAGTTCTTTCTCTTTGCCATCTTCTGTGTTGGGAAATACTAATCTGTGTTTTGAAAATATGATTGAGCCTTCACAAGGCGGCTTGGAACCAACCCCCTGCATATATCATGGTCCTACTGAATGTTACTAAGACAGGGCAGCTGTCGTGGCGCAAGGCTTACCCATAACGTCCTCTGCAGCCTCTTCGAGACCTGGCTGGGCGGCTGAGATCTCTTATGCGGACCCACAATCACATATTGTTGTCTTAAAACAAAAGTAGAGATGTTCTGGTGACTGCATTTCCAGTGGTGGGCAGGTCCACAGCCCAAAGGGCAGGACCAAAACGATCAGCATATTTTGACTGAAATCTTTTATTGCCAGTAAAGGAACCTGAAGAATATTATCCTTTTAGAAGGGGGGGAGGAAAGACTATACAGAAGCCTGGAAAAGACTATCTGGTAGTCTCATGCCATATAGGAGGAGAGATGGGAAAACCATCTGGGCCCCGCAGAAAGGCCAAAATCAGCATTTCAGTCTCAGGTTTCCCAATCCAGATTAGAAGGTTTTATTAGCAGGAAATCCTGCAATACTTCATTCCACTTCCAAATGGCTCTGTGCTGTTTCAATTCTGACACATCGATTGCCAGCAGATGAGCATTCTCCACCCTGGATTTTTTAAATTTAAATTTTTTGAGCAGGAGGAGATGGACTTGGTGCTTATGTTCTTATTTTATAAGACTGGTTTGTTGCATGGCAGCGGAACAGGCAATTGTAGGACCATTGTCATGAGGAGGGTAAAAATAGCAAAAAATGGAAGGAAGAGTTCTCTCTTTTTTTAATCAGAGTAAGCAGTTAATTAGATGTATGGTGTCTAGGATGATCTTGTCCAACAACTCTATTTAAAAACTGGGTTTTGTGGTGGTTTCTTTACATCCATTTTTAGACCAACGCATGAAAGCAGTAGCATCTTCTTGTCTGAAGACTGAGAATGATTAGGATCAAGTTAGACATTAAGAGGAATGCATGTTTTCTCCAACTAACCAGTTTTCCTTCCAGCCGTGGGCTTAACTTAGGGGTACATGCCTCAGAAATGAGACTTTCCAATTAATTATACCTTCTAATGACTGAATTTTTAGGACTGTAGTCTACAGTTTTTCTGCGCTGTCCATGAAGGTGGGGTGCCCAGCCTGATGATGTGGAATTTTCTCCATGAAAGCTTGCAATTTATTTGATTTTTTTTCCTTTTTGGTTTACTAAAAGTATCGCCCTACCTTTATATTTGTGTAATCCTAACAACTACACAGCCTTTTCCTAATTTTCTGTGTTATGAGAAATAGAGGCCTGTTACTAATTCATCATATCCTGCTTCTAAAAATATGGTAGGCATTTGGTCTAGTTTCTCTCTTAGATGTCTTTCTAGACCTTCATATGGCAAACCTGTCAGAAGTTGGCAGGCAGGAGTGCATCTTAAAACAGGTATCTGCCTGGTCTCTTGTTTAGACCAGGCCTTCATAGTCTTTGACCCAAGATGAACGCAGCTTATCAATGACTTCATTTGGCTTCTTCAATGCTGGCCAGACTCCACCAAGGCTTACTATCCTAAAACAGAAAAATTTGTCACAGCAGTTTTCCATGGGCACCAAAACAAAAAACCCAGGAAGTTTTTGATCCATGATGGATTATTTTATATGGCTTAGTCTGTTTCACCAGTTCGTGCTGGTCTTTGCTGGACAGTCATGTTAGTGCCTGAATGTCCAGAGGATGCAAACCCTGAAGAACATCCACATAGAATCCAGATATAAAAGACACTTATCTCAAGTTGCTGGGAAGTGATGCTTATGCTTATTTTAATGATGAACATTACAGCATCTTGAGACCTGTCTCCTTCATACATGGGTTCTATCTATGTGACAAAACATGCTGGACAGAAGGAGTGTTCTGCCTTTGGTTCATCAGCTCAAAGCACAAACAGTCCATTTCCTCCTACTACCAACTCATTTCTTTAAGGTGTGTATCCATCACCACTGGTTCACTGTTGTTGTTGTTGTTGTTGTTGTTCTTCTTCTTCTTCTACTTCTTCTTCTTCTTCTTCTTCTTTTGGATCATGCTATTTGGAATGTTTACATTTCCCCTAGGTCCCAACTCCTTGCTATTTGGAAAGTTTACATTTCCCCTAGGTCCCAACTCCTTAATTGGTTGGTGAAAAAATATATTTTCAACCAGGCAGTCCCTTTAAAAAGTGACTTCTCTACTAAAGGCACAGAGGCATTCTCTTCCATATGAGAATGAAGTGGGAAAGGTCACTAGAAGATGATATCGTAGGGCATTGGTTGCCAAATTTGGGTCCCCAGACATTCTTGCACTGCAGCTCCCAGAAGCCTTCACCATTAGCTGTGCTGGCCAGGATTTCTGGGAGTTGCAGTCCAAGAACATCTGGAGACCCAAAGTTGGAAACCCCTTTCTTAGAGACATTCCCCACTCGCTCCCAAACAGGAAATATTGCTTCTATGGAGATAGCTGCTGTTGTGCCATTCATGTACTTCCTCTCTCTATATATATATATTTATTTCCCCTTCAAATGGTTGTTTGCAAATCTGTGCAGATTTAGTTCATTAAAACTGGTTTGATAGACTAAGCTTTTTGAATTGGGTGACAGCATGAGTTTCACGAGGGGAAAATGACTCTGTCTTTTACAGGCCCACAGTTCCCTTTGGCTACAGTGGAAGAGCCTCAGGCAACAAAAGCTGGCTCTGCAGACCTTGAACAAGGTAAGCCTGCTCTTGTTGAGGGTCAGAGGGCTAAAACAAATTCCAAACCTGATAAACATGCTGCTGAGATCGAGAAGGCAGCCGATGAATCCATATCTAAAGTACTAGACTGGTTTAAGAGAACTTCCAGTACTGCTGGTAAAGAACCAGTTTTGGTAAGCCCTTTGGCGGAGACGGATATGCTCAAGGCAAGAGAAGATAGCGACTTGGGTACACATGGTTTAAATCTGGATTTTGCTGCACGTGAAAGGAAAGACCCAACCAACAAAGAATCTCTGTTCCACAAAGAACCAGAACTGTCATTGTTTGCAAAGAATGAAAACCCAGGCAACTTGTTGGTAGTGGAACAATCTGTCAGCAATCAGAGAAGAACAGAAGATGCTGCAGCCTCTGAAGATGATGTGCTGACCTTTCCTGCTAGTGTGAACACGCAACTGCAAGTAGTTCATCAAGGTGTCGACAAAGCTGCAACTGCAGTGGGAGCCAATACTCAAATGGGTGGTGAGAATCCTTCGGTTGGGGAACAGAAGGCTTTTGAAGATAAGAAGTCCAACCTGGTTTTTAAAAGTACTGATGCTTCTTTTGGTGAAGTAATGAAAAGGGAAAATAATAGACAGGCTTACACTGATGGGGAGCAAGATGTCAAGTTGCTTTTGGAGGAAGGAAGCTTTGAACCTCAGCCTGGAAAACCTTTTGAAGAACTTGGAGGTAAACCATCGGAATCTGAGGAAAATACACAATTTTCTGACAGAGGAAATCCTAACTTGCAGCACCAAGAAATCAAGCAGTCATCTCTAGAGAATAAGAAGAGAGTCAAGGACATCAGGGCTTTGTGGGAAAGAGAGGAGACCCCCAAGCTTGAAAGTAAGGGGGATGTATTAAATAAGAACACCTCAGCTAGTAACACAATACTGAATTCTAGTAAGGAATCCCACAGAGTAAAACCAGTGGGGGGATCTTCAGGATATGTGACAGCTGAATCTGATAGCGAACAAGGCAAATATAATGTAGTTACTTTCAGAAAAGTGATATTAAATGAGGATGAATCTGAACCAGATGATGATGGCAGTAAATTGTCTTCAGGGAGAAGTACTCCAAGGTTGATTGACAGATCTAAACAAAGCTATCCTATTGACACTTCAGGCAAAATATTTCCAGGTGACCAAAAGAATGAATTTTCAGAACATTCAGATGGAGTGAACCTTCGCCTGAGACCCAGCACAAAAGAGGGAGAATGCTTCCAACCGATTGTTTTAGAGAAAGAGAAGACAACCTCTGCTCAGAAACAAATTTCCCACTTTCAGATTCATTCTTTAAAGGAAAAATTAGATGAGGATGCCAAGGCTCAAATGCTCAGCCCATCACAGTTCCAAAGTCTGAGAAGCTTTTGGGATGCGGGAGTGAAACCACAGAGCAGGACCGATGAATATAACAAGGTGATGGTAACAGTTCCCAGGAGTGGAAAGGGCAGAGCAAGGGATTATAAGGAAGAACCAGAAATGTTAAAAGAAGTTGAAGTGAGAACTAGCCAGGCTGTTTTGGAAGACAAACAGGAAAAACAGATTGCCCAAGAAGAAAAAATGGACAAACCAAATGCCAAGGTTTCAACTCAAAATCTCTTGGAAGCCACCAGCACCAACTCAAAAGAAGTAGGGCCACCAGTGCCCTCTCCGTCAGTGAATGCTGCTCCAAAGGGAAGTTTAGAATTTGTCCTACCAAAAGACCCCTACTTAGAGGGGGGAAATGTGCATCCAGTGGAAGAGTATATAGGGAAAACAGAGGCCCCATCACGAAGACAACTCAATTCATTTAGCAGTGACTTGCGGAAGCTATTGATGGAAGCATCTCAGGAGTTCTTGCTAGCAACCCCGCCAGCTGATGAGAAAGGGTTAGCAGCACAGGCTCAAATGCCCTTGGATGACCAAGCTCAGCATCATCATCAGGGGGTTCCTGCGGAGAGACAAGTAGGAGTTTTGGCCAGTGAGATCGCAGAGGCTGCAGACAGCACTTTGGCCCCATCGAAAGCTGACGCCAGGGCTCTTGACGTGGGCTCAGAGAATCAACTGAAGGGACCCTCAGATGCAAAAACCTCTCCGAAACATTCTGTCGTGGAGGATGTTTCTGGACAAGCAGTTTCGCTGTCAGAACAAAGGCGTTTCTTTGACCAAGTGATGAAGCGCAGCCATGATTCGTATCCCAGCGGTCGACAGAAAGGCCCTGCGGAGCCTGAAGAAACAGAAGAAATTATAAACAAACATACCACATCCAGAGACCTTCATGCTGGATTTAACACAGGTACAGAGATTATGTCTAGAGCAACGGAAAAATCTCATTCAGGACCTGGGAAAGCTCCAGACATGGAGGAAGGCCACAGACATTTAGGTGACCAAGCTTCTCAGGGAGATGTCTTCCAGATTCCATCTGTAAAACTAGTGCTGCCTGGTGCCGTTTTTGCCGCTCAGAACAAAGCAAACTCTCCAGCCACAGAAGTTTTTGAGACAGTAACAGAAGTTAATGTCCCATCCAAAAAGAAATGTAGTGATTTGAATGCCAAAATAGCCTGCCTTCTGAATGCATCCTCCACAATGCCGTGTGTTTTGCCCACAACTGAAAATGTTCTAAAAATGCACTGCAAGGATACTTCTGTTCTTGCTTCTCTCCAAGGGGCCAGTTCTTCGAGAGAGATCATGAGCAACACAAATGCAAGTGAAGACAGTGGCCCTGTATTGTCTACAGTGGAAAATGAACTAGGTGACGAGGTGACTGTAACACTACCATTTAAAAGCCAGAACAATTTAAAAGCTGGAGGATGTGCAGTTTCTGGTGATGAGCAACCTGAAGATGTGGCAGAGACGGTGGTGAAAGCTATTAAAGCAAATGCATATGAACCTGCTGCATTTAAAGCCAGTTTGAGGAAATTCCTAAAAGAGGACTCTGGAGTTACAGAGACACAATTACAGACTGATCAGAACGTGAACTCCATTTATGAAAAAGTAGCACCACATCTTCCAGAGATAATTGAAAGGATAGAAAAGACAACTCTTCCTTCTAATACGAGGCAGGCTGAACTCAAAGCCGGCTTCCAAAAACTGCTTAAGGAAGAGTCTGAAATTCTGCCAACCGACCAGGAAAGCAAGGCTAATAACAACAGAACGCAAGTAGAGGGTAAGTCTAATTGGAGGGAAGAGTTATTTGACCAACAGGAAGAAGGTCAAGAAATTAGTGAAACTGTAAACAAAACTGCTTCTCCATCCAACGAGAAGCAAACAGAATTTAATTCTGGCTTGCAGAAAGTACTTGAAGATGCTACCTGGATGCAGTCTATTCAACTGGCATCTTTAGATGGCCCAGAAGGCATCAAGGAATTTCCTCCAGAAGCAAAAGAAACAGTAATAAAATCGACCGCCCCAGCAAAAGATGATACAGTATTCAACTCTAACTTAGAAAAGCTAATTAGGGAAAGCGCTGGTGCTTCCTTGCAAGTGTCCATGGAAGACCACCCAGAAGTTCTGGATGACTCAGCATCTCAATTAAAAAAGCAAAACTCCTCTGTAAAAAGGCTAGCTTCAGCTGCCAATGCACCAAATGAGTTTCGTGCTGAAGTTAAAATACCGCTCAAGGGAAAGCCTTTTAAACAAGGTGACCAAATTGTAGAGGGAGTCCCTGAAAGAATTACGGTTTTCCAAAAGACTGTTCAGGTTAACACATTGTCGGCTGAAGCTGCGCATCCAGGCAGAGGAAAGGATTCTCCTAGTTGCTCTAAGACGGATGAGAGAGAGAGAGAATATGAAAGAGAGGTGGGAGCAGAGGTAGCGACGGCATCCTTAGGTGATGCAAACGAAGCCGGTGCTACTGATGTGCTCCAGAGATCTCAAAGCTCAAGCAGCCCATGTGCAGAAGAGCAAACCCCTCTTAGAGTAAGTAGAGTGGAGCTACGTCTTGGTACCCAAAATGCTGATGGCAAGAACAAAGAAGATGAAGATGACAGGAGTTTTGGATCAGATCTTTCCAATGAAAACAGCAGTTATTTTGTGAGGTTCCAAAGAAGCAGAACACGTGAGCAATTTTGAATTCTTTCCTGGTTATCTCACTCACTGTCTCTCTTCGTCTATGCATATGTGTATACATGTAAACTTCAGTGCATGGGGCATACCCAAGCTGTGATAAATGTACAGTTTAGAAGTATCCTCGGCCAGGACTTATGAACAAATTATTCTTTCTGATGGCTGGAGATTCTTTTGGAGTCTCCCTGCCTCTAAGCATCTTTACCTGGAATGAGCCTTCTCCTGCCTTTATATTGGGGAGGGACAGGACCACTGCTGCGCCAGACGTCTCAAGGAGCGTAACACCGTGGTGCATAGTGCACGGTGGCTTAATTATTTAACACACGCTTTAACACAGGAGTGGGAATGGCCTTTGAGCTGCATGAGGTCCCACGGGCCCAAACATGGGCCTCACATCTCCTGACAAGTTAGAAAAATATTTTTCAATTTTTTTTTGAAAGAAAAGGTATGCTTGACACCATTCCTTGTTTCCTATAGGACTGTGGTTCCCAACTTTGGGTAACCCCGGTGTCCTTGGACTGCAGCTCCCAGAACCCCCTAGTGGTGAAGGCTCCCGGGAATTGCAGTGTTAAGATCACTGCTTTAAAGAGATGAGGGTGTATAGGTTTTTGCATGTTTTGAGGGGCTCCCGGAAACCTTGGACCCCATACCCTGCATTGTTTTAAAAAATTGGAAGAATTTTTTGGGCTACTGAATGTTTTCTTTTTCAATTTTAAAAAAACATTTTGTAAGGGAAAAAAATGTAGTTGTGGCTTACCATTCCAATCTTCTGGGGGGCATCCTGGGGCTGTGCAGCTTGCCCAAGGCTACACAGGCTGGCTTTTGTCCCAGTGTTTTGGCACAGTGTGGAATTGAACTCCCAACCTCTCTGGCTCCACAGCCAGATACCTAATTCACTGAGCTATTCAACTGGCTCATGCCCTCACTAAAAGTGAACAATGATGTGAGGCATGACAGCATTCAGTATAATGGCATATTTAGGACATGGCATTGAAATTACAGGAATTATCGTGGTATTGGAAGCAACTTCTCATAATGTCATTTTTGCCATGTTTCTCATAATGTTTAGGTGGTGTATTTTTTTTTTTAAGAAAAGCTGGGTGAATTAGATAATGAGCCTATACTTGCATGAGAGATATGTCGGTGCGTTGTGCAGTGTTCATGTGTTTTGTCTTTAAACAGGTTCAGAAGAAGAGCCAAGCCCAGTTATGGAGGCTTTGAAAAGGAGTTCAAATAGGCAAATTCCTTCCCAAAGTCTAGAGGACATTCCGTCAGCCACATCAAGTGAGCGAAAAAAGTTTGCCTGACATTTTCTATGTCCTTGAAGGTGTTTCTTCTTCTTGTTTTAAAAATCATCTCCCAACTGCCCTCTATTATCAAGAAGTACTTAAAATCTCCCTTGGAAGAATTTAACACTCAAAACTGCATTTTTTAAAAAAATTAATAATTGAACATTTCTGGGTTGAACCACTCGTATAAAGTTGTTCATGGATTTCTGGAACGGCTCGCTATCTGCCTGTGCCTTGGAGCATTCTGAGAGATATGCTTCTAGGGTCTCAGGTTTTATTTCCCTTAACATGTGCCCTGTGAAGCGATAATGCCCTGATAAGCTGTTTTGGATTAATTAGGCTTTTAGTAATACCGAGACTGAGATTCAGATAGAAAAGAGCTAAAGCAGGGGTTCCCAACCTTGGGTCCCTAGACGTTCTTGGACTGCAACTCCCAGAAGCCTTCACCGCTAGCTGTGCTGGCCAGGATTTCTGGGAGTTGCAATCTAGGAACATCTGGGGAACCAAGGCTGGGAACCACT